AAGCTCTGAATGAGATGCAGATTCACTCTCTGACAGCAGGAGGCGCTTCTGGAACACCAGATACAGTGTTTCCTTGGTTACCGCTGTAAACAAAGCAGCGCTGCGCTGAAACACTGCTTTAATATGAACTATACAGAGACGAGATTAAAATACCACGTAAACTTTTCTGTTTAGTTTTCTGTTTCTGTCAGTTCCCCTCAGAAACACATTCATATAAACCCCCAAATCAATATTGAGGATTTTCTTCCAATAGTTCGTGCATCATGAACAGTGAGTGATCTGCCTGCTACAATATCACGGTATCACAGTATTGTTGTTACAGCTCTAAAAATTTGTTATTTTTAAATGACGGTAAAAAAAAAAAAAAAATTTAATTCCCGCTGAACACAATATATTTTGTTTTTGAGCAACATACAGAATATTAGGAACAGTAGAATTTGTTTATTTTTTCTTTGATTTGTTTCCTAAAAAAAAGAAAAAAAAAGACTGACATCTTTATTTAACCTAAATCTGTAATTACAGTTATTTAATTTTAGTTATATAATTCATCAAATCGCGGTATACCTTGAAACCGGTAATCGGCCCATGCCTAGTCATGACAGCATATCCATCACCGGCCCTAGGGGAGCAAGGAGATAGGGCGATTGAGGAACAATGGACTGAATTTGGCACTATAGTTATCCGAGACGATATGCTTATTGTAAAATGTACAACTCACAAAGGAACAAAAAGATCCCAACGCAGAGTGTGCGTATATTGATTGATCATGGTCTGACTGGTGGATAAGGAACCCTTTGAGACAGGCATGTCAAGATCCTGGCTTCACATCTGCAGGGGGTTTCTGGTCAATATGTGTCTGGAAGAGCGAAGCTGGGGGAAGGGGTCCGATTCCATTCATGGCCATCAAGAAGATCAGAGAGCATGCGGTCTCTTGTCTCCGGTAGGGTGTTATCCTGACACTTGGCCTCTTGTGTATCACATAACACACAATACATGCACATACACACTTGAGTTTCAGATTTAGAAGGACTTACTAAGCTCTACAATCAATATACACGAGAAAAGCCTAATGAAACATTCATGCAGCAGAATGGCAGCAGCACTTTGACCAAAATAATGACTAATAATAATGACCAAAGAATGCTCGGTTTTTCATTGCCATGATTGGGAATCATTTTAACAAACACAACAATGGGCAACCGTCCTAAAAAAGATGTTACGCAAGACTTGAGCTCAATCAAAAGTAAAACAAACAAAAAGAAACACAATTGCATTCCCCTCTTTTCTATTCAGCACAAAAAGTCTTGGTCGTACTCTTTCGGAAGCGAACTGTTTCAATTCCGAATGGTACGCATGTACTCTACTATATCAATGGGTTCCATGGCGGATCACTGACGGATGCTGCCAGCTGAATGGTGAATGGGGTTCGTGACTCAACAGCTGATTGGTGGACAATGACAGGAGCAGCCAGTCTGGTTGACGGGGGTGGCAGCTGTTGCAAACAAAGCAGCACAAAGAAGAGGTGCCAAGAAACTATCCACTATCCAATTCTGGGAGCAACCCCCGGATTCACAGACTGTTCAGAAACTCTCAAGACAATGAATTTATGATTATTCAAGGGCAAATACCCAAGGTTTCCTAGTCCACATGTCTATTTCTCTCATTATCTGGAATGTGCTCAGGTGTGTTCAGAACTTGTTAAATCCAGGACTTAGGCTTTTGAGAGGAAAGACCGCGCACACACTGGGGAGACCTTGGAGCCTGGCTCTGACACAATAACTTACACTGTAATGAACAGAAGGCTGGAAGCCCACAGCCTGACACAAGCAACTAACTACATATCCAAAAGCCAGTATCAGACAGGCGGCCCTGCCCGCAGACGCCCACCGCAGACATCTGTCAGCCGAACACACTCCTGTACTTACATCACGAAACAAACTGAACCAACCTGCATTGAATTATCATCAGATATAGTTCTAGTTTGAGCTTTAGGGATTTAGGAAATGATTCTGGATTTAGACTATAACTCTAGATTTAGACTATAACTCTTCCAATTTAGGACAGACTCTGATTCAGGAAATTAATCCAGATTGAGCACATGACTCCAAATGTTGTAATTTTCACTCAGGATTGCAGCACATTCCTCTAGTTTTGGGGAATAGCTCAAAATTTTACATTTGGATTTATGATGTAGATTCACATTTAGTACCATTCATATTCATAAAATCGACATTGAGAAAATGTGAGATTTGACTCTTAATTAGCTCAGTTCACTAGATCTAGGACTGATTCTACCATGCAAAAAAAACTAGCAAATATCCTTTTTTGGCATTGCCAGCATTGCCATGCTGTTCACAAGTATCAAGTTTTGCTGGTTAAGCTAGTTAAGAAGCCTAGGCCTACAACATACCAGCATTCAAAACACAGCAAGGGCTAGTGACCAGCTGTGCTAGCATTTCAGCAGGTCAAACTAGCACATGGTTCTCGATTTAGGAAATTACTCTAGAAGAACTGGATCCAGATTAATAATATGACACTACATTAAAAAAATTACTTGAGATTTGCAGACCCTGCTGAAAAGACCAGTTTAGCTGATTTAGTGTAGCTGGCCAGACAATTTGTAAAATGTAGCTGGTAAAATTGATCAAACATAATACCCTAGCATGATGGCTTAACATATACTGGAAGGAAATATTTAGCACATTAGAATTCAGCACATTAGAATTCAGACCACACACAGCACCAAATAACCTAAACCCCCGGGTTCAGGTCTGAATGCAGTTTACCCCAGATCATAGCTAAGCGCCAAACAGGTCACCGTCTAAAGCAGTCTGTCTGGCTGGCTGCTTTACAGGGCCTGTGATTACCTCCAGACAGCAGGTCTGATCTCTCCTGGGTGATCCGAGAGCGAACTCTGGAAACGTACCAATACCCTACATTCAGACAGAGTGAGCCAAGACCCCACTCTCATTTGCCTGTGTGGTCACAGTTGTTTGGTTTTGTTAAACGTGTGAATTGCAGCAAGACCCCAGCTGTGGCAACAGTTTCCGTTTCATTTGTTTATCCAAAACATCACTTACAGCAACATTCCCCGTGATGCCATCCTAACATTCCTTAAAAGTGAGGTGTCTGTGGATCATATTCCACAGATGGGTGGAGTGTGTGAGAGTGTATTAGCAGGGTGTGTGTGTGTGTGTGTGTGTGTGTGCGATTAAACGCTGGCAGGCTCTCGTACTGACTCAACCGAGAATCGCTCAACCGCTCAGAAAAATAAAGAAAAGCTATTAAACAAACCCAGATTTTCCTCCAGGCATAAACGTAAGCGCTAGCAATCACATCATTACCCTGCACAACACAATGATGCATCAAAATAATGATATGTTCACTGGATTTATGAAGAAAGACAACAAGTCTGGACATGTCTTGAACCAACAGCATGTAAATTAACTAAACGGACATAAAATATACAAAATTAGGAAATTATAAAGCAAAACAATCACTGCATAGGTCAAACCCTGACTTTTTAAATTGTAACAAGGCCTCTATTTACAGACTGCACTGTATATTAACAGCCACAAAGTTCATTACAGCATTATAGTGCATATAGCATATACAGTTTATTTACTCTGCATATCAATTAAACTATTTATATACACTATAGCAGGGGTTTTCAAAGGGGGTCTGTGATGCTACTGAATTATATGTGGATCTAAAACACATTATATAATTCTATATTAACATATACAGCTCCAACCAAATCTAAAAAAGCTAAAGTTCAGCATTAATATATTGATGATGTAATATATGCATAGCATTATAGAGGAGGTTTAACATGCAACACTCAGTTTTATAAAATATGTAACAAGGAGTCCAAGCTCTGGCTCTCTATCCACCAACGGGTCCTATGAATGGTTGAAGACTCCATACTATAGTTTATATATAGTGTACACATAATATATTTGCACTATAAAATGCAATTCAAACTAAAAGATCCAGATGCATATAGTACAAAAACATAATTTGAGACTCACCTGAGGTGTCCCACAGGCTGAGCTCTATTCTCTGCTTGTCAATCTCAAAACTTGCTGTGTAATTCTCAAACACAGTGGGTACGTAATTCTAGGGAAAAGACACATGAAAGAAAATTGCAAATATTACTAAACATGTCTATTTTAAGAGTTTAAAATGTGAAAATGAATGCACATGCTACAGAACTACAGCCTATATCGTAAAGCGCAGTTGCGCACCCACTGGATTTTACGCATCTCACCTCTGGGAAACAGTCCTTTGCAAAAACGTGGAGCAGAGCGGTTTTCCCACACTGACTGTCCCCCACGACCACGATCTTACATTTGAGGCTCTGACTCGGATCCATTCCGGGCTGAAGGGACAGTTTCTCTATAGATCTTCTCTCCTTCATTGATTGTCTTTACGCGCAAGTCCGAGGAGGCGCACAACGGAGAAGACGCGCACAAACGCACAGCTTTCTATAACCACTTTGGAAAGGGTGCGGATTCCCTCTGCCCGTGTCCTGATCTCTCTCTCTCCCTCTCCTGCAGAGATATACATCAACTGCTTGAATTCCAGCCCTCTCACTTTTGGGGTATGTGCTGTGTTTTATATGAGCCCGGTAAACCAATGGCTGTCCTTGAAGACACCCAGAGATCCTCCCCTTTCTTTCAGTAGGGAGAGGGAAAGAGCGCACCCTACAGGCCTTAATAAATATGTATTTGCTTCTAGCTCTATGAAACTCAAAGTTCCAGTGACCAAAATAAATAACTAAACAATAAACTGTAATACATTTTTAATATATTGTGAAATGAGTTTTTTTGGGTTACTTTATATAGTATTTTATACCAGAAACATTTCAAATGAGTGAAATCTATAATACGGTATGGTTAGTTTACAACATATCTTGTCCAGAATTTCTGTGCTGTTACAAATTTATTTTCAAATACTCCATGTACTTTCTCTCTCAATAAAATAATTACAAAAATGCTTATTTTTTTTTATGTGAAGTAATCAAATATAAATTGATCACAGGAGCAGGTGTAGGTCTAATAATCATATCATGCTGGCTGTAGAGCAGTTACCCAGGTGTGGAGGCACTGGAGCAGAAACAGGCCTTCTGGAAGACACAGAGTCAGCATATATTTATCTGCTACATATTTGTAACACATTCATTCCATCAGCATGTCATCAGCTCTTACAGTAGATGATGTGAATGCGTGTCAGACCGAGAGAGAAAGAAAAAGTGAAAGAGGGTGAGTGAGAGAAAGAGAGAGAGAGAAAAGTACCAAAAAGTACCATGGTACCTCCATGTTTGTTTGGACACGTTGGACATTCACCATCTTAATATCATTATAATTGGGGGGGATTGGGTACTGTAGATAGATAGATAGATAGATAGATATAGAATGACAGACAGATAACTGTTTTTCTGTTGTCTTCAGTTTATAAAAATCAATTATTCTCTGTGCAGATACACAGCCAATATAACAAGATCCGCTCTGAGAATCTGCTCACCCACAACCCCACACAAACCCCTGAGGCCTGATGACTGTAGTGTCTGGTTCCTCTGTGTGTGTGTGTGTGTGTGTGTGTGTGTTGAGGGAAGGTCATTGTATATTGACACACATGTTCATTCAAGTTTGTTCTGTGAAATGAGAACAAATATTGACCCAATGTACTGCTAATAATTTGAAATCAACCTTGCTCCTGTATCCAATGGTTACCGTATGAAACCCCTCATCTGTAGCGTCCATCACACAACTGTAACATCTCTTGTCGCTCTGTGAGGTGAAGCGGCGTGGTCTGACCCGTCTCCGCACATCCCAGCTGAAAGATCATTATATGCGTCAGCAATGGCGCTAATTAAATCGTGATTTTGGGAGTCTAACGAATCTACCTATGCACTAATACCATGGCCACATGTTCTTCCTGCAGGTCAAAGGTCAAAGTCTGAGAGAGCTGAAATAAACCCCCTTAGCTGTCCTAGCTGAAACACACATAAAACAATGTACATTTTAACAAAACACAGAGTATTCAAACAACACTATAATCCTGTGTTGTTATTATTATCAAATAAGGTTGATTAGATGAAGATAATAGTGTATTTTAATATTTTCTAGTGTACTAAAAAAATGAATCTCTCTTCTTTAGAAAAAAATGCGTGATGCTAACCCAACACAAAACATACCGCCACAATGCTAATGTGTTCTGACTTGTTTCTAGGGTGTTGCTATGTGCTTGCCAGGGCGTTGTCAGCTCATTCTGGGTGTTTGCTAGGTGACTGTTTAATAGCCGAACTCAGAAGAGACCTCTAACTCTAAGTATTAACAATAATAATAGTGAAGATTAGCAAAACACAAATAGAGTATTCAAGCACTGCTATAATACTGAACAATTAGCACAATTAAAAGTGAATGGTTAAACAACTCCTGTGTGTCGACTTTATTATTCTAAACAATTTAATATCTATATTTGTATAGTATCAGATCAGGCTGAATAATATCACTGCATTTTAATATTTTTGTGCACAGTAAACTTTTAAATCTGAAATGTTATCGATGCTAACCCCTCCAAAACTTATCGCCACAATGCTAGCAAGTTCAGAGTGGTTGCTAGTGTTGCTTTGTGGTTGCTAAGGTGCTCTGGACGGTTGCCAGGGCATTCTAGGTGTTTTTATAGGGGGTTGTTTACTAGCCAAACTAATACAATACCGCTAATGCTAAGTATTAGCAATAATAGTAAAGCTAGCCTTAGATAACATATTCAAACAACTATAATACACAATAAACATAATTAGCAGTTAATGATTAAACACAACTCCTTGTGGTTGCTAAGGTGCTCTGGACGGTTGCCAGGGCATTCTAGGTGTTTTTATAGGGGGTTGTTTACTAACCAAACTAATACAATACCGCTAATGCTAAGTATTAGCAATAATAGTAAAGCTAGCCTTAGATAACATATTCAAACAACTATAATACACAATAAACATAATTAGCAGTTAATGATTAAACACAACTCCTGTGTGGTTGACATCTTAATCATATTTGTATTAGTATCAAATAAGGTTGATTAAGATATGAGTGCATTTTAATATTTTTGTGTACAAAACTTTCATTGTAACTTACCGCCACAATGCTAGCATGTTCAGAGGAGTTGTTGCTATATTGCCAGGGGATTCTGGGTGTTTTATGTGGCTGATTAGCTATGCTAACAAGAGTCTGCTAATGCTAAATATTAGCAATAGTGAAGTTTGAATGATTTGATTGTGACCGTTTGCTCAATTTAAACACCCTTCTGATGGTTTTATCGCAGTAAGCGACTTAACAAACCCGTCTCATACTGTTATTTGTTTGTTTATGTGGCATGTTCATTGACTCGCGTTTAGCGATAATGGCTGATTGCCGCGGTGAAGCGGCGACACAGACTGACAGTAAAATGGCCCCTTTCTTCTTAAATTGCTTTCTGCTTCACAGATCTTTCTGTCAATAGTCGTTCAGGCAGAAAGCACCCTGACATTTTCCTCCGGCTAATGCTGCTCGAATACTGCTCGCTTTAAACCCAAGATTCATTTTCCTGGAGTGGAGGTGACTGCAAGAGAGAGTGCAAATGAGATCAGGAACTGCGACGAGGTACATTTCAAACGCACATCAGTGAGCAACAAGTTGATACACACAACGTGAGAATGAAATGGAGAATTGTGGGAAACACGTTGCCATTTGACATTTCCCCTGAGCAAGACCTCCTAAACAGCCTCTCACACACACTCTTGTTGGGGCCTGTCAACTTTAAAAGGTGTCGGCTTGCACTGGGAATGGGAAACACATCTTATGTATCACTTCGCCAACCAGTCGTTCAAATGTACAGAATTAGAAGTGGAACATGAAATCAAAACTGACACCATTTGTGCTGTATTTAAACGCTGCTGTCTATAAATAAATGAAAATAAATGCTTCTAAATAGAATTTTTAGTGTTTGAGAAGTAAAATTAATAGTTAAATTAATACAGTCTCAAACAGAATTAACAGTGAAACATGAAATCAATATTGACACCCTTTATGTTCTAAATAAATGCTGCTGACTTTGTATTTGTCTGTGCTTAAGTTTTTTTTCTAAAGAATTTTAGTGTGTAATAAAATTAATACTTAAATAATAAATTATACATGTAATAAGCTAGAGAGAAAGAGAGAGAAAAAATCCCTTTCAATTAATAAAACAAAATCTATCTATTTATCTATCTATCTATCTGTCTATCTATCTATCTATCTATCTATCTTGTCAAGGACGAAGAATCCTACAAAATATATATAAAAAAGAAAGATTTCAACAATCATACAGTATTCTCACACTTTACCTGATCATTTATGGGTATTACTATGATACAATCTTACAGTATGTTTTTACATGTGTTTGTGTTTTTAGGGAGTGTGTGGTTCAGGATTCTCCTGTGACTGTGGAATGAACCCAGAGGCGTTTCACTGGCTAATTATTCCACCTGTCAATCACAGAGTAAGAACAAAAGACTAAAACCCGTACCTGCTGGCTTTAAAATCTGTCCTCAGAGGATGACCTGTTCATTTAAATGTCATTAACAAGAAGCCAAGTTTCGTCAAGACACGAAACAAAATGTAAATAAGCAAACGCTGCTCTAAAAACCTGTCTAATGAAATTAAATACAATGTGTCAGATTGACATATGAGCAACTCAAAATATCCCCCAGGTGTTTACAATAACTACGCTTTAACCCTGAACATACTGCATTTAGGTGCAATTTATCCAAAAATTATTTGGTTTCACAAACGGTTCATAAACTGGGTGGAAGGATTCGTTCACAAACTGGACTGAACAATTCATTCGCAAACTGAACAGAATGATTTGTTCACAAAGTGGACACAATGATTCATTTACAAACTGGACATAAATTTGTTCACAAATTTGATAAAGCATTCGTTTACAAATTGGACTGCACAAGTCATTCATAAATCAGACTGAAGGAATCATTCACAAGACGGACTGACCAATTTGTTCAACAAATCAGATTGAATGAGTCAATGTGACACAAAAACATGTGACAAACTGATTGGAGACTTCATACAGGGCTTGTGAGTTATGCCTGTGTAACAAGACTTACATAATTCCTTGGGTGTGGACAGTAGTGACAGAGGGAAAGTCTTTTGTGGTAAATCTTTCCCTGAGGTCTTTGATGTAGAGTTGAGGATGTGTCGTTTGTCAGTGTCACAACAATAAGAGCCAAATCTCATTACCGGCCCATTCAGATCTCGCTGTAGAAAGTCGACTGCATCAAACCGCCGTTGCAATGACGATTGTTGGCCCGCAAATCTGGGAGCCCAGGATTGAACCTTGCGGTACTCCAGAATGAGGATGCAAACGATGTGGAGGTAAATGTCTGTGGTAAATGTCATAAAACTGCAGTCTGTGAGTGAGCAAGTCGACAGCTGCAATGCAGATTTGCGATACCACACACCCAGATACAAGAGACAGAAAGGAGCTCGACCCATTTCCACTCTGACACACAAGTAACATGATTCAATAAATGCAGCAAAAAAATTGAC